AGAGTTCTGAAGCCTCGTTTGATTTTCCAGCTTGCAGCGACATGAAAAGAAAAACATGAAAAAACTTGCATTTCTGTGTTCCAACTTAAGTAACTTTAAACTACTTATACTTTACACAAAAAGTAAGGAAACTTGTGTTTTGTCAATTATTTGTTGTAACTGAAAAAGCACAATATATTGGAAATTTATTGTAATCGCAATAATGGGTATAATGTAAAAAACTGCTTAAACTGGTTTGCTCAAATGTTTGAAGCTTAAAGCTTCTCACCAATCGAATAGAGACTTTCATGTGCTTGGCCAACTGGATAGATTGCTTTATATTTAAAAACTCATGCTGGACTGRAAATGATGTTTYAGTTGTTTTTCGTTTTTTGTTCTCTGAACCCAGAGCAGAAAGAATACGTACTTCAGTATTTGTTCATTTATTGCAAGYCATTTTGTCATCACAATAAGCYGTTATTGAARGTTTTCCTGATACCGTGCAACAATGCTTCTTGGCATCTTATACTGTTAACTTCCCTTTTAAATRGTGCCACATTTGTWAGGAACTTGCACATGAAATAATCCACAAACCTGTTTTGTATTGATTAAAAAGCAGACTTTTGATGTTAAATGCGGGACAGTTTGGTATTTTAAGGAATGTGTGGCAGACCTAACAGTTCAAATAAGCATAATGTTTGTTTTTGGCAGTAAGGGTTTTAAGATTTTAAGATTTTATCTTTGACATATTTGAGGTTGAAGGCAGTAATTCATTTTGGACGTCAGTCTGATCAGAAATAAAACACTTCTGTTTATTTAAAGGGTTGTAAATAATTAATAACAGTCTGCACCCAARACCACTTCTGGTAAATTCAGTCACTTGATGTAAAAAAGGACAATTTTTACAGAACAGCAGTGTTAAGGTTTGCTGCTTTTCTTTGATAAACAGCCTCTTGGGACAAACCTCCAGTGGAACCATGTGAGAACACAACTACAAACTGTAAAAACTCGTTAACATAAACTTTAATCTGATTACAGCCACTGCTGAATTATAAAGAAAAAGGGTTCAACGACTTTTGTTCCCGACTGTTCAGCTGTATTTAAACACAGCTCAGACCTTTAGGTCAACATATCTAATTCTAAAAGCAGACTTTGAGTGAGCTAAATGCACCGACAAAGTATGCTTAACTCAACCAGAAAGAATAAATAGCACTGTTTTAATTKAACTGTAGATGTAGTACAGTGGCAAGAGTCACTCAGGCAAAAAATAAATGATTTGACTTGTTTGGTTTTCCAGTTTTKACATTAAATTGATGAACACTGAGAAAAAAAACATTTTCAGAAAAAGTTGCACAGTTTTTTTAAGAATAAACCAGAGAAAGTGAATGTGCTTCTCGACTGTTCTGATTTTTTTATAATTCTCATATTTGAAGGTTTTGGGGACACTTTGAGTCAACGACAAAGTAACACGCATTATTAAAATACCATTATAGTTCTGGGTTGTGAACATCTGCAATAAAAAGTCGTTTGACACAAAGTTGTTTTATGACCAGTCGGGCCTGTCACCCAAAGTGCTGCTCTTGCGTCAGCCGTGGCAGAGATTTTAACTCGAGGCGGTGTCTCGGGATGTGGCAGTCAAAGAACAAAGGGAGAAAAAATTTGCTGCAGGAGAAATATTAAAGAAAAAAAAGAGTTGAAGCAATTAATTTATGTAATCAACCTACCACCACGCTGGATTTTGGCCCCCACGTGGCTTTGTTACGACAGCGGGGACCCTGACTGTGTGAGGAATGTGTGTGTGTGTGTGTGTGTGTGTGTGTGTGTGTGTGTGTGTGTGTG